TCGGTTGGTAGTGCAGGAACTGCCAGGCTGCTGAAAGGCACTCATTCTATTTTCTAGTAAATTCATAATGTGCAGGTCAGACTGAACATAAATAACTCAACACAACAAAAGGTGATGATTTGGAAACAGGAATGTTACCATTAGTGACAATGACTGGTCGTTCTCCTTTCACTCAAATAGCAGGACTGCTTCCGAAGGTGAAGCTGACTACTATAAAATAAAGATATGGAGAGGAAAAGGTGAAAGAAACTACTAGTGCATAGTTCTCAGGATTTAGCAAGGGACTCCTACCCTGCGCTCTGCGCCACTTTTTTTTTTTTAACCTGCCAACAGAGGCTGCTGCAGCCAGAGGTTGACTCAGGTATTTGTCATGTGTCTGTCACTTGGACACAATGGATGCTTTAAAAAAATTCCACTAGTGAAAAGAATCTGCTTGCTGCGGCAGTCATCAAGAACCAGCATACATATCCTTATACACACCTTATGTATGTATAACCTTTTATACACACAAGTACGCTCGTTAACCTCAAGCCTGTCATGGACTGGGGCAGGGGTGGGCAAAATGTGGCCCAGGGGCCGGATGTGGCCCACCAGGCCATTCTATCTGGCCTGTGGGGCCCCTAAAAAATTTAGAAAATTAATATTTATCTGCCCCTGGCTGCCTATCATGCAGCCCTCGATGGCTTGCCAAAACTCAGTAAGTGGCCCTCTGCCCAAAATAATTGCCCACCCCTGGACTGGGGTCATATTCTCTACCTTTAGAATACAGAATTTCCCTGGAACTGATAGAATATTTTAAATCTTTGTATGAGAGAGAAAGATTTTTGAGGCATACTGGGTGCATCTACATGTGATGATTTAAGGTAAATTAGCCATTTTAAGGCACATTAAGAGCACAGATCTACATGTGTTTTCCCTGAATGCACCTTAAAAATGGTGCATTTAGGCTAATTGTGCCTAAATTTAATACCTGCATAAAGCAAGTATCAAATTTAGGCGTGATTAGTTAAGGTGCCTTAACCCACATGTAGACGTCGTAAGCTACCTTAACGCTATGTGACTGAGCAGGCCAGAGCCGAGCCTGTGGGGCCCCATGCTTCCACTGGGTGATGCTAAGACTAAGTGGTGGGTGCTGTTCTGCAAGTGCAGATACAGGAGCAGCGGTTCTGGCAGCCCCACATGCCTCTCCCTTGGGGTGGATTTGCTGGCCTGGCAATGCAGTCCTGCAGGGGCGGGATGCTTCACTGCACATCTGAGATTCAGGTGCCCTTAGAAGTCTGCACTGGTGCTCCCTCCCAAAACAGCAGGCCAGCTGGGACTGCATCTGCTGACCCTAGTCGGGGGCTCAGCCTTGGATCAGGGAGGCCAAAGAGAGACACGAGCCCCCAGTGCTTGCAGAATAGCACCTATCGCTTCTTCATCTTGGGTGCACCTGGTGGCAGTGTGAGGCCCCACTGGTTTGGCTCCAGCCCACTGTTGTGCAGTGAGAAGAGTTCACAAAAGCTTGTGCTCTTTACATATATCTTAGTCTATAAGGTACATATCTACTTTACCTTCTTCAAAGAGAAGATACGCAGGTCTGTTCTCTCTTAAATGAATACAAATCATTCCTGTTAATCATGAAGGAATTTTCGTATGTGAAGTTGAGGAATTTGCATGTATGTATTGAAGGAAGATAAAACCCACTAAATATTTGAAGAAAACAGCCTGAGAGCTCACTGGAGAGTAAACTCTCAGAACAATAATGAAACGTAAAACTCCTAAATTCTTTGCATCCACACAAATTTAGCTGTAGGTGCAAGACTGCACGCGGTGTCTAAGAGTGGCAGCACTGGTGCCTTGCATGATCATGGCTGATTTCTAGGCTTAAAACACCTTCATCGAGTCCAAGTAAGAGACTTAAAGCTCCTCCTCAGGCCTCCTCCTCATGCATTAGGGTCCACTCACATTGCCCTGAAACTGAAAAACATTGGCACTAATGTTTCTTTTAAGCTGTGACAGTATGGTAGTACTTAGCGGGGCTAAATGGCATGCTGGCATCTGAGGAGGCTTTGGGCATGGTGGAATGGGGCTTAGTACAGGAGATTTTGGGGATAACAGGGGACACAGTGGAGCCAGGGGGCATCTGAGGTGACAAGAGCAATGCATAAAAGGGCAATGAGGGGCACTTTGGGGCCATGGTAGGGTGTCTGGAAGACTCCTTTGTGGGTGCAGTGAACAGTTCTGTCCATGGCAAGGTTGTGGGGTAACAGCTGCACCCCCCCCACCCTGGCACTAAATGCCTGCCTCACCCTGGAGCTGGCAGTCAGGCCTTTCAAGCCCAGTTACATTTGTTTTGCTTGGATCTTAAACTGAATACTATAGACCTAAACCCGTGGCATATTAGAAAAGCTTCTAGTTTCTTTTAATTGGAGAAAACTATGCATTGTGTTATGGGATGATGCACCACACCATGTGCACCCCCTTTTTCAAAACCCTAGATCCACCACACTAGCACATCGTAGGGTTGTATTTGCTGTGTTAGCCACCAGAAGTAGAAATCTGTGTGGACAATCACTCAGCAGTGGCAATGCACCATGCAGTAGCTGTGGTTCCTCGGGACCTATGGCACACCCTCCTCTCCCACTGATGCAAACCTGTCTGCCTGAGATTCTTACTTGTGAGGGAAGTTAGTAGAGATTGAGGCTAATGTTCATGCTCCTTCTACTTTTGCTATGGCAGTTGTTAGGAGGAGCCACAGGAGACTGCTATTCAAAAAGATTTGGATCTTGTGCATGTGAGGGGCATGTGCACTCCAGAGTAGGGCCTGTGAAACCCACATATCTCAAAGAACACAGCCACTATAAGCAATATTGCTGCTCTTTCTTGGCTCCCAGCACATTGACTCACACCACTGGACCACACTTTTCTCTTTTGGGTCTTGTGTCTTCTCATTTTCCCCTTCTTTTCTGTCCCTTCCCCTCAGGTGCTCCACATCATGACAGTATTGTCTCCAGCAAGGCAGGCTGGATGTGAGCCTGCATGGAAGTCATCAGGGTCTCTCTCTCAGACTAAAACTGAATAGCGTGTCTGTGCAGCAGCCCCAGACTGCCAACTAGAAAGCTCAGCACCCCAATTTGAATATCCAGGTGGTGGCATCCTAACTTGCTGTCATGCCTTTAGATTAGACCAGAGCTTTACAGATCTCATTGTGAAGATACAAAGACCATAAACATATTTAACAACTGCCTCGGTTAGACAAATGAGCCTAATTTGCATAAAATGAACTTTTCCAGCCAGGAGAACTTACACTACGCTCCAGCTCTCCTGTACAATATGAATTTTCATTTCTACCTGGGAGAATTTTTACTATCTTTGCATTCTCCTTTGCTTGAGGAATGGTGCGTGAGCCCGAAAGCTTGCAAATAAAGACATTTTTTTTGTAACTGTCTAGTTGCTGTAATAACAGTTTGCCTCTACCACACTGACTGCTTCTGGTATAAATGGGCATGACAGGCAGAGAAATGATTTTGCTGCCACACGGAAGCTACTAAATTTCTCCCTGCCCTTTTATGTTATGCCCTGCTTCCTGGCTAGTACTAGTTACAGTAGGAAAAGCAATGGTTTAATTTAGGGAATGTTCATATTTACAGATAATAAATGTCAAGTTGTGTTATTGCCTTTTCACTCTAGGAGGATTAGCTAAAGCCGTTAATCCCTCAAGATTCCACACGCATCAATTTAGTGGATTATTCACCCAGTAGATGGCTTTAGTATTGTTCACTGCAGTTTTGTGTTGGTTAAACTGATCAGCGTCAAATGAACATCTGTCATAAACAAAAGTTTATTACCGTCAAAGAGATTTGTGTGCAACTTGACAAATGTGAAGATGTTGTAATGATACAAAACGGCACTTCTAGACGCTTGCTTAGAGAATGTTATTGTTTTTTTGGATAATTTAAATATCTTAAGCTACATGGATTTGTTAAAGCATATTTGTTGTACCCAATTCTGTTGTTTGAGCATGTCTTGTATTGTATCAGACACTTATTAATAATATCATTTTCCAATGCATAAGTCCTTTTACTTGGGACGTCTAGCCCTGCCTTATTATTCAACTATATTAGGACATTTGGACCAGGAATCTTGCCACTTTCTAAAATATTACAGTGATAGTAGTCCCATTTAATGTTTCATATGCCTTGCTGTCTCCATTCTGCCATCTAGATGTATTACATTTTCCATTTTATGATCTTCCATTCCTTCAAACTGTCCTTTATTACCAAAAGTTTCACATCATAGTTTGAAAAGTAGAACACTAAATTATCTGCTATATCACTGAAGATGCGTTAACTACTAAATGGTAATTGTATTCAAGAGCGATGCTTTATCTAAAATGCCAGACATGATATTGTAAGTTTACTTTTCTTTGTAGATGCTTGTTCACTTCTTTGGCTTCTTTTTAAATGTCTTGTTGTACAAACTGTAGAATAATTATTCTTTGTGTTTTCCCTGTGAGACTACAGCGGGTAACTGAAATATGCAGAAAAATAAATAAATAAGAAATTATGCCACCTTTTAAAAAAAAAAATCTTCTGAAATCTCATCTTGAGAAAATACTTTTTTCCACTGCCTAGGAGATTCAACCCATGAAATTGATGTATAATTCACTTGGACTAAATTTACATTTGTAATATACTGACTAAAGATACACTCGTAGCACTCTGAAAGGAGAGAAATTTGTGCAGCAAAAATGTCTATTATGCAAATATAGCCAGGGCCGTCTGAGTGGAAATAGAATGCTTAGGCCACGGCCCGAGCAGATGATTGTGCAATAGTGGAAGAATTTTGCTCAATGTTAAAGAGGCTTATTTTGTTTTGATCAAATGTGGACAGATTTAAGGAAAAAAGTAATCTGCTGTTGCTGGCAAATGTTCTGTGCAAAATGCAATATTCACATATAAATGAGAATATTCAATGAAGCATATCTGTAACAGTTTCTTTTGTCTTCATTTGTCCAGGTGAGATTCCAAACAGAAGCTACCACTTCTTTGTACTGAAGATGCTGGTGGATACAGAGAAAGGGAGATTAACAGTTTGGCCTTTTCACAAGCATAAGAGTAGAGATTGCTGAAAATGTTTTTCTGACACCAAGTTTTTTGGTAAAATCACATCATGCAGAATAATCTCATTTTTTTCACTTTTACAAGCTGTCATCTTCCTCTCATATAGTCTTTCCCCCTCACACATTTGACTTCCTTACTCCTTTCTTAGATTGTTTTATATGTCTACTTACTACCCCTGCAAAATACTACTGTTTTGATTTCGGTACTTGGGCTATGCCCTTAGGACTCCTTTGAATGCTATAAATTGCTACACAACTGTTCAGGCACAGAAGAATCAGTCCTTTATATCCTTTGCAGTTGAGGAAGATTTCTTCAGCAAAGGAGTTATTAAATCCAGCGTAAGATTTAACAGGCTGATATGATAATCCAAGGAGAGATTCACTATCCTTTGAATAATTGGTGTCATGAGATTTAAATGCTCCCTTAGCAGCAACATAGGTATTGGATGCAGCACATGTTGTCACTCTGAAGTAATGTATCATGTCTACTATGTCAGATGTAGAAACCTTATTAAAGCTACTCCAAAGTCCCTGGTTGGCAAGCTAAGGAAGTCAAAGACAGGGAGAGTAACTGAAAAGTTGTCTCAAATGTACAGTTTGCTCTCTGTGTCTGAAGTGTATTCAATAAATAATCAAAGATATTATTGCAAATGTCCATACAAGGGACTAAAATGATTACTCATTGATTTTTCCACCTAGTTTAAAAGATTAGCATTCTCAAAAAAGGATTGCATGGAAGTGCCTATCTCTAGTAATGGGACTAAATAAATAAGACACTTTGTTACAACAGGAACATCATGCCATGTTACCATGTGTAGCTTCCATTTCTCAAAATATTTCTGTTGTGCAAAATGCTGTTTGGATTTAAAGTGTTTAATATTAATTTTAATGCCTTCATAGAAAGCACCAGGAGAAGTGGTGGTGATGCTGTATCACAGCACAATCAATTGATCTAGCTCATCTGTAATACAACATAGCTCTTCAACATGTGTTTGCATGATGTGCAACAAGATACAGGAATCAGAAATCAATTAACTCAGTCAGGTAAGGCTTAAGAGCTACATAAGACAAAACATTATGGAAAACAGCATGAATGACATAAATGGGGCAGCTGAACTGAAAAAGGTACCTAAGCCCTGAAAAGCAGAAACAGAGAACTCAGCATATGGCTCTTGATACGTGCTAAAGCAGAGATACATAGTGTTAGATTAAAATAATCAAACAGCTCTAAAATTAGGAAAACAATCCATAGCGTAGTTTTTGCTTTAGAAAACATCATGCTAGTAGAGTACTTGAAAAGATGAAAATAAGTCTTCTGTCCAAAACTCAGAGACATTTGACAGGCCACTTTTTATCCCAATAGCCTAGTGATTAGGGCACTTGTCCAGGCAGCAGGAAGCCCCAGTCATTGGTTTCCTTTGCTCAGAGATGGTTTAAACTTGTGTCTCTTGCTTCCAGCAAGCCCAGTGGTCTAGCCATCAGGCCACAAGTGAGGCATTATACAGGCTGCTTTCCCACCCTCCTTTTGCAGCTGGCCCCCTGGACAGCTAAGCATGGGGAAGATGTGGGGCCAAGGATCTTATCAAATGAATATGAAATGAAAGGTATAGTGGGCCAGCTTCAAGAGGAGAGCTGGTGGTTAGAACACATTGCTATGAAATGTAGGTTCAAACCCACTCTAAATGAAGGGTGGCCTAGAATATGAGTTTCTACTCCCTGCACAATTACCTAATCACTAGGCTATTGGGCTAAAACATTGGAAGACACTCTTCTTCCATTTTATTTCCATCAGGTACACAGGCAGGGTGATTCTGTTTCTCTAACTGTGCATAAGTGCCAAAAATTGCAATTACACATCGACTACTACTTAGGCACATAAAGTGAAATGGGATTTAGTTCACTGTCTCTTCCGAAAAATGGGTGATGTCTAGAAAACAAATGATTCTGATGCAAAATAAGTTCATTAACATATAATTGGTAAAAAAAAAAAGGCAGCTAGCATAGGAGGAAATATGGCTGTTGGTACATTTGTTCTTCATGGGAAAAAGTAACATTTATTGCCACCTCATTTTAAAAGGAAAGGAAAAAAAATCTTGGTAACACATCTCAAGATAGGCCATAAATGTTCTACAGGTGGTACCCTGTGACAATGTGACACTAATGTTTAGTAATAGTATACGGGGCCATTTGGTATAAATTGAAGACTGTCAATTCCCTGGAGCTCTGTAGAAGCCCACAAACTCTCTTACAGTTCAGGTCATTTCTGCTGCTCATGCTTCTGATCTTCCTGTTTCTGGACCCCACACTATTATGGGGTCATCCTGCTGGAGCCCAAGGCTTTGCCTTTACTGAACTAGCACTGATATTGCCCCATCTCCCGCTCTCACCAGCCACTAAAAAACAATCAGGTCTCCATACATCAAGTATGTTAGAAGATTCCAGAGGCGTCCAGCTGTCATCACTAGTCTAGTCTATTTTAACAACTGTCCACATCTTGGAATTTAAACAGGTTCAGAGTCACCGGGTGTGTGCATGTTGATTTTGGCCTCTTTCTGCCCTTTAAAACAATTTTCAAATACCTCCTGCTTTGACATTACCTCTCGGAACAGACTGGGTAAACATACCCAAACAGCAGCCCATATCCCCATTTGAGAACCAGCTACTAAAACTCTGAAATACAGACAAATCTGATGGAGAAGCTGTCATTCTTTATGGAAGATCGGAATGCTGCTGGAAGCCTTGCACTCATAGTACTTCAGACAAAGACAGAAAATATTGTAGCTCCAGGTCTTCCCTGTTTCTGACATAACTCAGAACATGACATCTTTCTGTGGAGTTTTGCAAGAGGGGAAAGTGACAATAACCTCCCCTTTCCTCAGGGTTTTATAATTTATCATGACCTGTGAGAGCCACAAATTCTCCTTAGCAGCCTACAGTTGGAGGATGGCTCCTCTGAAGTTCCAGGGGGAAACTAAAACCGTCTTCCAAGGTAAGTCTAGTGAAGGAACAGTGGTAAAAATTCATTTTCCTTCCACAGAAAGGTATGCTTCTCAGGTGCAGTGGGCTTTATACTGTACGGCGTCTCCCTATATTGATCAGCTCTGCAAGTGTATTGAAAGGCTGGGGAAAGTTCCTTAAGCATGGACCTGTGGGAAAACCAGATGCCCTCAGTTCTAGCGCCAGCAGGGATGGCTTTTGTGGATATGGATTCAGAGATTGGTCTATGCAGCTATTGTGCTGTCAGCCAAGCAGTACAGAATTTAATGAAACTTGCAGAAGCAATTAGCTTCTAAAGTAATGCTACACAGTTCCAGGAGTTCTATACACACTCTTGACATGTGCTTAGGTCATTTAGCAATCTCATTCTGGTCATCTCACCTATCTGCCCCCTGGGCATAGCATTATTTAGCCATTCCCCTCTGTACAGTTAATGTGAAAACACAGGGATAAAGTGTCCTATTCTACTTCTTAGTCTTCGCTTTCTTAACAATACTTAGCAGCTGCCCTTTAGAAATAATAATGTTTTAACTTGCTGGAAAGATAAAATAAAATTGTTGCAATAATTCAGATGGAGACTTCAGATCAATTGCAAACTGTGTATCTAAAAAAACAGGTACTATTTATTGATATTCAATTAAACAGTGACAAAACAATGCTGCTGTCCTTTACTAGCTCAGTACTGAATTTTCATAATATTTATAGCTTGCCATATGCTTGAAGTGTGGCATAATCCTTATGAAGCGCATGAAAATTGTTGCTTCCAAGTTTCAATAGATGCAGTTGAGTCTGTCTCTTTTTAGACAAATTGTTAATGAAAAGGTAGCTGAACAATCATTTTCTTGTAATATGCAATTTTGTCTCCTTAAATACAGGAGTCTGACAGAGCTGTTCAGCAGTTAACTGTTTCCCTATAGTACTGAACTCTGTTTGACCCTCAGAAACTTGAACAATGTTAGCATAAAGGGATAAATTGGGGGAAAGGCTAAAAATAAACACCCATTTGTAATAAATGCAATCCCGAAGACCTGAACACTGAAAAGAGTGCACATTTACAATACTGTTTCTTGATAGCTCACACAGAACTACCTATTTTGGAAAAAAATTAACGTTTTCATAGATCTGTTTTATGTCTCTTGGATTGTTGTATGTTTAAAGGGATAAACTGACTACGACCACCATCTGAGGGGGATCTAGTTCAGTGTATAGTAATCCTGCAGAATAAGAAAGAATTTTAAAGATCTCTGTCAGTGATGAGTCAAGACTTGAATACAAGGCAGGAGCACATGTTAGTACTCGTTTTGTTACATTAGATGCACATATCCATTCTTTCTGTTACCTGGATACATATCTAAAATATATTGTTAATGATCCACTGTTATTTTTACTAAGCAGCACCTAGAGAACCCCACCAATTGCAGACCTATTTTGTCTTTTGATCATTACACGACAGCCTAATGTGACGCCAGATAGGCACAGTTGGGTTCTACATGGCTGTGTTTACAAACTGTATGTAGACATGTAAGGCGTAGCTACCCATATGCTACAGGATTGGATGGTTACTAAAACACAGTACATAGTGGATGCATCTACATGTGCCATTAAGGGGCAGCAATAAACTGCAGAGCTTATTGCTCCACAGTTTATTGCAGGCATGTGTTTTACATGCATGCCTGGACTGCAGCACATTGAACTGGATCGCAGCAACCCCAGCTGGCAGGAGACTCTGGGGGTCAACCTGCCAACCCGGGGCTGCTCTGACCAGGCTTAATGTGCTACAGAGGGGCTAGCTGGGGTACAAGAGTGCTTCAGCACAGAGCTAACCAGCAGGCAGCCTTTGGCACTGAAGCATCCTCGTGCCCCAACCAGCCGGTCACCGTCTTGCTGCGCACAAAAAAACCTCTACAGCAGGGCAGTACTTGTATTTACAAGTACTACCCTGTTGCAGAGTTTATTAATTTTGTGCGCCCTAATAAATGTGCATTGTCGGGGCTGAGGGGCTGTGGCCAGCAGCCCGGGCACGTGGGCCGGGTAAGTCGGCACGGCGAACTAGAATTAGGCACTGACGCGTGGAGGTTGATTAAAGATTATTTTACTTACACCGTAGATGGTCGCGGTGCAGGCAGGAAAACTTTCTTGGTTACAGTTGTAGACAGAAGAAAAGAAGAAAAACTCGAATGATGAGAGCTCTTTAAACCGATACGAGAGTCCGTGCTGTGACTCTCAATGAGCGCGCAGGGCAGGGGTACGTCAAGGATCATCTGGTGACGGGGAGAGACTCTTGATGGGTGATCAAACCACCGGTCGGCTCCGAGACATGCACAGAGTTTGCTAGGCTCTACCACGTGGCCCAGAGTTCTCCACAAGATGGATGCGGAGTCCCCCTAAATGAGGTCCTCCCCGGAGATCTCCAACTTGGGCAGAAACTGCTCGAGCCTTTTATACGGCTAGCAAGCCAATCGCTAGCCGCCACGCGGGGATAATTTAGAAACAGCCAATAATGGGGAACAAATTTACATGCGAGCGGCGGGAACTCCTTTGCACTGGGGTTTTTCTCTCTGCAGCTGATAATTGCACCGTGCAAAGAAAGCTCCATGTGGCGGGAAATAATTCTGCAGTGCCGAAGCGCACACACAATCATTGGGTAATGACATGCATGTGTAGACACTGAAACG